GGTCATTTCGGGACTAACTTATGATTAAATTTTTTATTTCAATAATTCGCTTGCACGTAGGGGTCTTTAGCAGTGGGAGGAAACCGGAGGACCCGAAGAAAACCCACGAGGTTGGACAGACGACCCTACTCCTTGTCATGTACAACCTGCGATTCGAAACCACGCCGGTTGACTCAATAACAGGCCTTATGATACAGCGCACGCGTGCTAACCATTTATTGTCATCAGCACCCTTTATTTTCATGCTTTTGGGCCAAGTTTGGAACATAGTTGGTAAATAAAATTGGTATTTTTTTTGGTGATTTATATGTAGTTTACCACCCAAAATAACCAAAAATGTCATATCTTATCAACAAAAATTACCGTGCCAGCTTTAAAATGTGCATTTTAGACTGCTCAACGCCCTTAATGTTAAAAAATGTTTAAATATATCACTATTACACATCAATGAAGGTTGAGTTTCAATTTCGTAAAAATCTGACCGCAACTGCAGATCAAAGTGGACGCTCATTGTACGCAAATAGTGTAATAGTAGGTAATATTAAGGTTGTGGACACTCTAAAAGTCACAATTTTTATCCGATTTTGACAAAACTTGAAATGTATTTTAATAATTCAAAGATCTTGGTTTGTTTCGATAGTTGTGCATATCCGCCCCCCTGGTACGTAGGTGCCACACCCACATTTTGCTAATATTATTTTGTGTGTAAATAATTTACAGGTTGCAATTATTAACATATTTGGATCCAATTCAGTACGATCCATCATAGGGTTGTACCTATTCATATTGGTCCATGTCCAACCCCCAGGGGCAAAGCAAACCTTAATTTTTGTGTTTTTTTGTCTACAGACTGGAATTCTGAATGGATTATCTTGGAACTTGGCATATTTATTCCTTATACTGTAAGGTAGCAACTATTTATTTTGGTGCACGTCCCGATCCCCAGGGATATCGCACCACACCCACTTTTTTGTCTGTAAATACTCTACAGGTTTAGTCTGGTGGCTGAAGAGGGGGAATCGGCACAAGAGCTGAGACCAAGTTTTTCTAGACCAGTTTTGTACGTAGATTCCAAATCTGTGAGGTGATCAGGTGTTTGAGGGGGCGTTTTCGAGATATGGGTGGTCCAATGTCCACAAGTGGAGGAAAATGTAATTATGTTCACATAAATGGTGATCATGTTATATATTAATAAAACATAAATTTCTAGGACTGTCCATCTATAAATAAGTGTAAATGATGCCCCTGGACAACTTTTTTGATTTGTGGGGGGGGGGGGGGTAACATGAGTTCACGTTGATATAAATAATGATTTTCTTGGAGCTTGCTAAAAACATTAATTTATAATACCACTGCACATCTCTAAATATGCAAATAAGATTCCCATTGTGGGGGGGGGGGGGCAAAATGTATTTTAGATTTTAGGGGACAGAAACCAATTGACCTGAAAAATGGCTTCTTGTTAGCTTTTTCGTTCAGTACCAATTTCGTCATTCAATATATTAAATTATGATGGTACTATGATGGAATTCGGAGCTCAAAAACCAATGATCGAACAAGATGACCTTTCAAGATAGTTATCCCGCTCATACTACAAACTTTAATTTTGAAGCTTCTGATGAAGATTAAGAATAAACTAATATCTGAACATGTCTCTGATTTACTGTAAATTTGATTTACATTTCCAGATCACTTAATATTTTGAATGAATAAATTGGTACTGAATGAAAACCCTAACACGAAAAGCCATTTTCTGTCCCGAAAAATACATGTTGCAACCCCCCCTCCCCCGGGGCAGCCTAAGGAATCTTAACACATTTAGAAATGTTTCATCCATCAAGCTCTAAAGTTGTTGCCTTTATGAATGCACACAAGGACATCACAGTATATATATACTACCTCTAAAACTCTGGTATGTACAGCATTTGCAACATTTCATTTTTGAATGACTGAATTTCAATATGGTTCCTCTTTAGAATTAGCTGCAATATCTCACACTGTTACAGGTTAAATTAAGACATTTTTGATTTCTTGTTAGTGATATCAATTAAAATTGCTATGATCTGTTGAAACCTCAGAATGCCTCGTTCGGCATTTTTGTCCAAACGTGGCAAAAACATGTTAAAATTTTTGCCACATTGTAACGTGGTGAAAACAAAATGACACATTTGTCTGCCATGTTCTTGGGACGAGGTATTTTGTCCAGAACAAGGGTGTTCACAAGGTTGGATACATGATTTTTCAAAAGGGTATCAAGGGCAGCGTGCTATTATTTGATGACAGTTTCAAGCGATTATGTAGAGAAAAAAAACACAAGGCAAAGTCTTGACTAGAAATGACATTCGTTGCATAAAAAGAGTTTGTTACATTCTTTGTTGCAGTTTCATATGTCCACACAATATTTCCAGCAATGAGATCTGGGAAATGAAAAACAGCCAAGTTCAAAGCGGAGCAAACTCAATAATTGTTTTTTAGGTCTTTGAACATTATTAATTACAAATATGCTGTTCCTGTTTTATTGGTTGCTCGGCCTAAATGTGGAAGATTTTATTTTAAGGGCTTTTAACACAAAATTAAGCAGTTTTATTCTCCAAAATATAGTCCAGATCGACCCTTTAAATAAGAATCAAGACGTAGGCAGGTCATCCGAAGGATGAAAATGTAATTAGCATTCTTAATAAAGTTGTTCACTTTACATGTCATTATATAAACATAAATTGTGTCTGTTTCATGTTTCGATGGAATTTAGTTGGCCAGTTAGATACTTCTTTTGCAATTTTCATACATACAACTGAGTGACAATTACATAAAATTTCATGAGATATATTAAATATAATATCGTTTATTATATAAAAACAGGAACAGCATATTTGTAATTAATAAATTTCAAAGACCTAAAATACAATTATTGATTTTGCTCCGCTTTGAACTGGGCTGTTTTTCATTTCCCACATCTCTTTCTTGGAAATATTGTGTGAACATATGAAACTGCAACAAAGAATGTAACAAACTCTTTTAATGTGACAAATATCATTTCTAGTCGACTTTGCCTTGTGTTTTTGTCTCTACACAATCGCTTGAAATTGTCACCAAATAATATTATGCTGTCCTCGATACGCTCGACGAGACTTTGGTTTGGCTGAACCCCACCCCCAACCCTTTTGTAAAAGCATGTATCCATCCTTGTGAACAGCCTCGATCTGGACAAAATACCTCGTTCCAATTGGAACTCCAGACAAACGTGGCATTTTGTTTTTCCCACATTACAACATGGCAAAATGACAGAACGAGGCATTCTTGGGTTTATAGTGTAACATCTTTGAGCAGTCTGAGCCATGCTAAAACAAAGTGTTTTCTTCCTGTATGAATAAATTACTGATTTATAGATATTTAAAATTTACTACTGGTATAATAAATAAAATTAAACAATTAACAGAGTTCAACAGAAAATAGTACTTATCAAATGTTGGCAGTCGTTGTTTTTTGTATTTTAGAGGAGAGCCGAAAAAAGCTCCCCTTAATGAACAAATTGAAAAAATCGTTCCCCTAAAAAAGCTCTCCCAGTTTCGATAAGAAGAGTGATTTAGAAATTAAGGAGAATGATCTGATATTAAGGAGAGTGATTAGTTGTTTGTATGGTAAATGGTTCTGAAGATCAATAACTGCGTGTAAGGGGTCATTCTTGGTAACATATAAATGATAATAAACATCGTCTGCTAAATAATAGCACTCGTAGTCGTACGGTCAAGTCAAACTTCTACTGCCGTCTATAACTACAGTACATACGGTATTCCAATAAAAATACTTGTCGACATTTCTAAATATATATAGCTTGTATAAATTTTGTTTAAAAACATAAACCCCTATTCAAAATACATGTATAATCATAAACACTTAAAATTCCATCAAAATAGAATCTATTTCTTCCGGAATTATTCTCATTGGAAATTTTCACGTGCCATCTCTCGTAATTTCTCATGTCTCGCAAGAGTTCTAATTTTCATTTCAATTAAATAAACCAATGGATGGTGCACAGGCGCCATCTATTTTTAGCAACATATTCATCTGAATTTTATTACCTTTCGCGATCACATTATACTAATCGAATACACCAAATAAATGTACACAATGACAGCATGTTGGCGCTCGGAATGTGAGTCTTTCACACTCTTTTGAAAAAACAAAACAAATACATGTCCATGATTTACAAATATGGTGAGCGATTTTCAATTTTAAGGCGAGGGAGAAAAACCTCACCTCGGTCGACATTCGGGTGCGCGACAGGCGCTCGAGAGCGATAGCGCGCCTCAAAAAACAATGACTGTGTTGGACAAAACCAATGAAACATGTTGTAGAGGATGGAGGAGGATATAGTTTAACAGATGTTAACAAGCAACAAAAAATTTGAACTGAAGGACATTACTCATGATTTATCTTGAAACACTTGAGCACCATTCTGCCAAATTTATTTACAATGAATATATCACTGATTGTACAGATAGCCTACTACTAGTGAAGAGCGTCGAAGATAAAGGCATATAAATGAGAACTTTCCAATTTTGAAGGCTCACAACAGAAGTTTTATGAAGTGTAAGGTAATTCCAATTTGATGTCATTCTTTAACACCAAAGATTTATCAACACTGAAAGTTCCAATTTCTTGACTTTACAACAAAGACAAACCAGAAAAAAACATAAAAAACACTTTTCAATTTGTTGGTTTTCACTACCTCATTAAAAGGGAAACTACTCATCACAATCTGTTACTTTTATGGCTATTTTAGATGGATCACATACCACATTTGCAATGATAATTTGACAAATTTAATGTACAATGGATTTTATTTTTCCCAAAGGTAATTTCAAACATACAAGTAAGTTTTTAATAACTATGTCAGTAGTTTGTTTATACTGATAGAAAACACTTCCATATTTAGCATGGCTCCGACAATAAATAGAGGCAGGACAGTGTGAAAAAGCAAATAAAACAAATCCACTTACCATGTTGTGTATTTAAAAAATGATCTGTACTTTAATTTTGACGTCATAAGGATAAGACCAGAATATCCATACACAATTTTTAACTGGAAAAAAGAATGATGTATACATTAATTTTGAAGTCAAAGGATGAGACCAGAATATCCATACACAATTTGTAACTGGAAAAAAGAATGATGATTAGTTTTTACAAAACAAAATAGATAATAAGATTGCTAATTAAAGTTTGGAAGTTTCTTGCAAAGTGAATAAAAATAGTATGGGATGCCACAGAACCTGTATCTGTAGAGGTGTAACAGTGATATAAGTGAATGGTTCTTAAAGTCGGATAAAAATAGACCATAATCAGGGGCCATAATCAAGGAAGTTACAGTCCAATATGTGCGAAAATCGAAAGGAACTGAGATCTTTTTGTTATATATAGAATCTCCTACCAGTCTTTTTTTACGAGTAGGAGATTTTATTTATCACCCAAACCCTTTTTACATGCACAAATAGATAAATATAATTCTTTGCTATAGATTTCACTTTTACTGAACATTACGGCGTAGTGATACATCATTTTTTGACAGCAATTCAACCATTGCAAAGTCCTTTATATTGGCCCAGTGTTTTCATCAAGGTCAATTGAATAACAATAGTTCATTTTTAATAAAAAAAAAAGTTACTTTTTATAAGAAATGAACTGTTATTTGAAAATAAAAAAAGTAGTTCCTTTTCAACTGACCAATCAAATTCATGTAAAGCGATATCTCCTAAGGAGATATCGCAGTAGATTATGAAATATATCACACAAGCGATATCTACTGTAGAATGTATTATTGGGTGATAAAAGCATATATTTCATGTCGTATCAAAATCAGATAAAAATTGTGAGGGTCCACAAGCTAAAAACGCTATTTTTGTCCCCTACCTTTTGAAGAATGCAGGTGATTATTTAAAAAAGTATTTCTGTCTGTCACACTTACTTGGGTAAGCAGAGATAAGCCATTTGATTGTTTACAGCTTTGGGACATGAAAACTTTGGTTCTAATTAAGTGAGAGTGATGAAACTTGGTGTATAGTTTCATTACGTCAATATCTTTACTAAGTTCGATAATGAGCATTTTCCGCTCATGGTAAGCAATGGTTCAACTTCGTGTACAGTTTTATTACATCAATACCTTGAGTAAGATCGATGATGAACATTTGTAAGACTATTGGTAGAATTTTTGCTCTTTAAATTAATAATAGCATTATATTGTACCTTTAACTAATTATTGGATTCACACATTCTATAGAAGTCAGTTATTGTGCACTCAAATAATGAGTGACAGATTTCGACATAAAAACAGTTATCATTGGTAAACATTTAATTCTAGGTTAATAACAAAATAACAGGTGTAAAACTTCTGGTGTAAGTTTCCACTATCCATGGGGTCGTTTTTGACGTCATTAGGCTAATTAACCAATCTTTATAATTAATTACGTCATATTTGACCAATTAGATAATTGAAGTTCCAAACCCAAAGCTACAATACTATCATCATATCTCTGAGCATTTGTCAGACAGCCGCTGGATTCCAGAGAGAAAATGTAGCAATAGCATAATGTGGACGTATTATATGCCGTCGCCCCTGTGTGTGTGGGGGTCGCCTACAGGGCGCAATTCTTACACGATTTCTTCAAACTTTAAATACCTATTCCTTATACCCTAAGGATGATCCCTATTGTTGTTGGTGCATGCCTGACCCCCAGGGGCAGAGCCACGCCCATTTTCTTTTTGGGGTTTTGTATGTTGCCTACAGGGCGCAATTCTTGACTTATCGGTTGAAACTTTACATACTTATTCCTTATACCTTAAGGATGATCCCTATTGTTTTTGGTGCATGCCCTACCCCCAGGGGCAGAGCGACATCCTTTTTTTGTATTTGTCGTTTACAGGTCGCATTGCTTAACGAATCCACTTCAAACTTTGCATACTTATTCCTTATACCCTAAGGATCATCACTATTGTTTTTTAGGTGCATGCTCGAGCCCCAGGGGCAGAGCCACACCCATTTTTGTATTTGTTTGGCATGTACAGGCCGCATTTCTTAACGTATCATCTTGAAACTTTGCATACTTATTCTTTGTACCCTAAGGAACACCACTATCGTTTGGGGTGCATGCCCAACCCCCAGGAGCAGAGCCACGCCCATTTTCTTTTTGTGTGTTGGTGTATCGCCTACAGGCCACAATTCTTAATTGATCGTCTTGAAAAAATTTCGTATGAATTCCTTATACCCTAAGGATGATCCCTATTGTTATTGGTGCATGTCTGATCCCCAGTGGCAGAGCCACGCCCATTTCTTGTATTTATTTGTTTGTCATCTACAGACCAAATTTCTTAACATATTACCTTGAAACTTTGCATACTTATTCCATCTATCCTAAGGAACATCCCTATAGTTTGTTGTGAATGCCCAACCCCTAGGGGCAGAGGCACGCCCATTTTCTTTTTGTGGGTCAGTATGTCACTTACAGCTTGCAATGCTTAATCAGTCGTCTTGAAAACTTTTTTATACTTATTCCTTATACCCTAAGGCTGACCTCTATTATTTTTGGTGCATGCCCGACCCCCTGGGACAGCCACGCCCAGTGTTTGTGTGTCTAGTGTTTCGCCTACAGGCCACAATTCTTAACAGATCCTTTTGAAACTTTGCATACCTATTCCTTATACCCTTAGGATGACAACTGCATGTCCCAATCCCCAGGGGTAGTGCCATGCCCAATTTGTGTTTATCGTTTACAGGCCGCAATTCTGAATGGATCAACTTGGTACTTGGCATATGTATTCCTTATAGCCTAAGGGCGTCAACTATTGATTTTGGTGAATGCCCTGACCCCCAGGGGCGAAAGCCACAATACTGAATGGATTATCTTGGAACTTGGTATACTTCTTCCTTATACCCTAAGGACGGCAACTATTGATGTTGTCATTTCAATAACAGGGTGGTGCCTATTTATATTGTTCCATATTCAACACCCAGTGGCAGAGCCACACCCGATTTTTTTATTTATCATCTACAGACTGCAATTCTGAATAGATCATCTTGGAACTTTGCATATTTATTCCTTATACTGTAAAGACAGCAACTATTTATTTTGGTGCATGCCCCGACCTCCTGGGGCAGTGTCATACCCACTTTTTTGTTAATATTTTGTCTGTAAATTTGGCAAAACAAACCCAACGAGTAGCCTTCTTTGCCTCTTGTATAAAGAAAGACCTACAATAGACAGATTTAGCTTTTGCGTAATGTATGTTTAAGTGTTTTTATATGGGGGATAAATGGTAATTTCTTATCAAATCCAGTGTAAGTTCCGGATCAGGATGTGAACCTCTTCTTTGACAAAAGTTCATACACAGTCTTGGATTTCGATTTTTCGAATTCCAATGTCAGTTGCCCATCGTTGAATAGAATTCAAGCAAAGCTGCAACTTACATTAGATTGTCTGCATGCTTGTCGACCCGTAACACATTTTAAAGTCATCAATATAAAGAGAGCCGTCGACCCGATTCATTTTAATCAGATTGGCGGGAAATTGTGTGTACTCTTTAATGAAAAAAATAAATTTACAAGAAATTAATGAGTTTCATCTATTTAGTTTGGGATTTAGGTGGGGGACATCAGCCTCACTGTTGGCTTGTAATGTATAATGTACTGTACATGACTTATTTGTATTCTTACTGAGCAAAACAATCTTTTTTAACAGCAACACTTCACTGTAAGCCTCCTGTATTGGTATTAAAATGACTAAAGATAATTTAGATGATTTTAATGAGGGAAGAAATTTAAATGAATAAAGAAGGCATAACATGGCTGAAGATATTTTTATTTTAGATTTAATTCATTTGATTTTTTGTAGGGGAAAGATTTAAATGAATTAAGAAGGCATACACATGGGAATACAGTTGATCGATTTACACTACGAAAATTACTTCAGAGAATTTTCATGAAATGTAAATGTAAATCTGTACATGGCAGATCCAGGGAAACAAGAGAGGTATGACCTTTATTTTTAGTTTTTGAACCCATTTCATTTGAGAATATGGCATATTTCATTCAAGAGTGTGAGAAAGTGTGTTCTGTCACGCAACCAGCATTTGCAACCGATTTGAGACTGAAATCTGTTTCGTATTGTTATGGCACAAGAAATATGCATTTTTGGTAACACACATATATTTCATTAACTTTCAAACAGCTAGAATCAAAAGGCTAAAATAATGTTGCCGCCTGTACTACAATCAACTAGATTGTGGTTTGCATCCCCACTCTTAAAATCTCATGACTTTTTATAGTTGGACAAACTAATTTTATGTTCTATCTTGACATGCCAGACACACAAGCATAGCTACTTCATCTGTTATTTTAAGTAAAGAATGTGCTGCAACAAAATAATAACTGGACAAAGTTGCTTCTATTTGCAAAAAAAAAATATGGACCATCATTGAGTGAACTGGTTTCGATTCCCCTGTTGTATGTGACAATAAAATAGAACCATATCTTAGTCCCAAAATGACCTAGTTAATTATGTCAAGAGTTAGGTCCAGGGATCTTAATTAGCTGTTTTTTTGTTGGCTTTAGCTGCTTGAAGTTCAATCAAGCCGATTGGTAAAACAATGAACCGTCCACTATGGTATTACAACTAAATTACAACGGGTTAATTATTACTTGTTCATTAAGAAGTCAATCAACTTGATACTTCTCATACTTTAGTGAGAATCGGCCACGTGGTTTATAATCTGTGTAGCCAAATTAGCACATTTAACAATAACGGTAATTTTGATAATCCGGTAAAAAAACAAAAAAAGCAAGCTTGCTGATTATTCATAACAGGTTCAGTAAGCTGCTGTATTAAAAATAACCCACGTGGCGTAAGATGACGAACTCGGCATGGTTTGCCAAACAAGCGTCTTCCACGCTCTGTATGAATTCCAGGTACCGGTAGATATTAAAATTATAACTGTATCGTACATTGATGGATTCACTGACCAGTTGTTAGGTAAATTTAAATCTTAATTGAATATAATCCCGATAGAACACCGAATACACCGAGAAACGGTCATTAATAATATATTTTCCTCATAGAATCTTCAATGCCAAATTCCAATGACATGTGACATACCGGTTGGAATTAGGTCAATAAACCAGTTTTAAATAGCTTTTACCGTTATGATTTTTTTTTATTTTATACACATTCTTACAGAGGCCTAATTTTAAAAATATTGTCGTTTTTATACGCCCACATGGAAGTTTGGTCGTATATTGCAGTCGCCCCTGTCCGTTCGTCTATGGTCCACAATTTCTTGTGATCACTCTACAGCATACATTTATCATCTGATTGTTTTGAAATTGATATATGTTGTTTGCATTAGTGAGATGAAGAAGCCTATTTAATGTCAAGAACTTCCATTAATTTCTTCTGGAGTTACGGCCCTTGTTTCACTTTGTTGCACCTTGTGAACACTCTAACGACGAAAGTTATCAACTGATCTGTACGAAATTTATAGGCATCATTTAAATTAGTAAAACAAAGAAGCCTATTGAATTTCAGCAATTTCCGTTAATTACATCTAGAGTTATGGCCTTGTTTCACTTTGTTAAATCTTGTGAACGCTCTACTCTAATGACAACAGTTATCATCCGATCTATTTGAAATTGATATGCATCATTTAAATTAGTGAAATGAAGAAGCCTATTGAATTTCAGCAATTTCCGTTAATTATACCGTGAGTTATGGCCCTTGTTTCACTTTGTTGTACCTTGTGAATGCTTTAACGACAAAAGTTATCATCTGATCTGTATGAAATTTATATGTATCGTTTAAATTAGTAAAACAAACAAGCCTATTGAGTTTCAGAAAATTTCTGTAAATTACATCTAGAGTTATAGCCCTTGTTTCACTTTGTTGAAACTTGTGAACACTTGAACAACAAAAATTATCACAAAATCTGTATGAAATTCATATGCATCATTTAAATTAGTGAAATAAAGAAGCCTATTGAATGTCAGCAATTACTTCTAGAGTTATGGCCCTTGTTTTACTTTGAACCTTGTGAATGTTCAAACGACAAAAGTTATCATCCGACCCGTATGAAATTTATATGCATTATTTGAATTAGTAAAACGAAAAAGCTTGTTGAATTTCAACAATTTCTGTAGATTACTTTCAGAGTTACGGCCCTTGTTTTAGTTTTTAGAACCTTGTGAACCCTCAAACGACGAAAATTATAATGTCATCTGTATGAAATTTTCTATTAAATTCCCCAAATTACCTACAAAAGAATAAATATGCGACAATCCTTGTCGACCGCTCGGACGATTAAGCTGCTGTGGGCGTATGTTTTGTTGCCTATTTTTATTGAAGGCTATATATCATAATCGTAGAGAATGTTTATTTTAAAACAATTTCAATTATGGTTGTCACGTGACAATTGTGCTGTTGTCTTTCATCGATGAATGAATAAAAACTTCTGCAAGTTATGTGACTAGTTACTTGATAGACAAAAAACTACAACTTTTGTTATGAAGAAATGCCATGGTGCCGTATCAGCTTATTTTGGCTACTGCATTTTCTGATACTGGCAATAGTAGAAAAATGCTAATATTTTAGATCATAGACTTATGAAACTTCTCGTTTCATCGAATAAACGAAGACAGTATTTTGTTCTGAAATATTACTGACATGAACAGGGCTGCCGACAACCAGTATCGCAGGGCAATTTGCGATACATATTTTGTCCGTTGCTAACCAAAAATTAAAATCTAACGTTTTTGATTCGCAGTTACTGCGAATCATTAATATGCCTGTATAAAATGTTGAATAAAATTTTATAAACAAAACTGAATTCTCTGTGTGACATTTTCTTCTCGAACTGCCCAGACACAATACTATATAACACAGGGACATAACTCTATGAATAGGGACTATTAAACCGGAAATAGGGAATCAAGTAGTACCACTCACGTTGTGAGACATCAAGTAATTATATCATATTCATTTTGAAAGAAATAAATCCAGTGCATCTCCCACGTATTGTAAATAAAATATAAAAAAAATAAATACATGTTAACGTATTGTAAAATGATAAATCAAAGTAAAAATTCCCGTAAAATATTATTGTTTATATCGCGTGTGTCTAGTTAATCGAGGTGCGCCCGATTGAACAAAAATAATAATACACGATAAAAAGCCGACGAAATTGTTTTCTAACGAAGATTTCAAAAGTAACAAAAAAATTACAATTAAAATGAGTGGGGCTTCGGAAGTCACTGTCAAGAATTGGCTTCAGACATAAGACCCAGGGCTGCCGACAACCAGTATCGCAGCGCAATTTGCGATACATATTTTGTCCGTTGCTAATCAAAAATTAAAATCTAGCGTTTTTGATTCGCAGTAACTGCGAATCATTTATATGCCTGTCGTTTTGGATATTGACACGAAGATTTATCCACATTTCTCAACACTTTCAACGTGTATAAAATGTCAAATAAATTTTATAAGGAAAACTGAATTCTCCGTGTGACATTTTCTTCTCGAACTACCCAGGCTCAATTGATTATACTATACACGTAATACAGGGACATAACTCTATGAATTGGGATTATTAAACCGGAAATAGGGAATCAAGTAGTACCACTCATGTTGCAAGACATAACAATTTCAAGTAATTATATCAGTATTCAATTTGAACAAAATAAATTCAGTGTATCCCCCACGTATTGCCAATAAAATGTAAAAAATAAATACGTGTAAACGTATTGTAAAATGAGAAATCAAAGTAAGAATTCCCGTAAAATATTATTGTCTAGTTAATCGAGATTATTCGTAAAAAACTGCGCGTCCGATTGAAAAAAAAAATAGTAACACACGATAAAAAGCAGACAAAATTGTTTTCTAACGAAGAAATAAGAATTAAAATGAGTGGGACTTCGGACGCCACTGTCAAGAATTGGCTTCAGACATAACCAAAAGTCTACATTCAGAAATGTTCACAGCTACCTGTACTGTAGCAGTGCTAAAATTCTAAAAATCTTAAGAATGAAATCTAATCATTTGTTATAAATTAAAGTAATCTTGTTATTTCGGTGTTTTATGTTGAAACCGAAAAACTGCTAATCAATTTTTAAATTTGCTAATCAAATTTGGCAAAATTGGACTTTTTGATTAGCAGTGCTGCTAATCATCTGTGAAAAATTACCGTCAGCCCTGATAAGACCTAACTAAATGTCTACATCACATTCACAAACTGTCACAAGTACTTGTGGCACTTGTGGCAGTGCTAAAAAATCTAAGAATAGTCAGAATGGAATCTAATCATATTTCAATTAGTTATGAATTAAAGTAATATCTTGATATTTAGGTGTTTTACGTTGAAACTGAAAAACTGCTAATCAATTTTTAAATTTGCTAATCAAATTTGGCAAAATTGGACTTTTTGATTAGCAGTGCTGCTAATCAACTGTGAAAAATTACCGACAGCCCTGGACATGAACTTCAAAAGCTAGTGAATATGAAAAATTTTCAAAAGGTGTACCTGTCGTTATTTTTGTGGTAATAATACATTAAAATACAACATTCTCCATAACAAATTACCAAGAATTATTATGTTGAAGTCTAGTTATATTAAAGAGAATATAATTAAGCTTATAATTAACCCATTTCCTACGGGACCTCATTTGACCCAATTCTGGCCGTTTCGTTTCAAAATGGATTAAGAACACTTGTTATGCCCCTTGGATCACTTTGTCGAACCCTGTGAATGCCCTAATGGCAAAAGTTATTCAATCTGTATGAAATTTATATGTATCATTTGAAATAGTGAAACAAAGAAGCCGATTGAATTTCAGCAATTTCTGTTTATTGCATCAAGAGTTATGGTCTTTGTTTCACATTCTTGAACCTTGTAAACTCTCTAATGACAAATGTTATCATCGGAACTGCACCTTGTGAATGCTCTAACATCAAAAGTTATCTGCCAATCTGTATGAAATTTGTAGGCA